GCTTTCTGTGCATCATTTCTCACAACTGTTAGCCACTGATGAAGCTGTTTGACTGCTTCCTTCTCCAGTATATTGACTAGTATCAGGAACATACCACCAGAACCTTGTAACAGATTCTCAATGACAGCACTGTGACTGGAGTAGTATTCTGAATGACCAGCAAAATCATGAAGAATGACGTTACCCAGTGTCCTGTGTTGTATTTTATAAGGAATGATGCCAGCTGTACAGGGTACTACCCCTCCAACATTTCTAAAAGAACCAAGAACAAAAGGGCCAGTAGCTGTGTCATTGATGACATGACTAAGAGTACTTTTACCAGCTCCAGGATTACCCACAAGGAGAACGTTAACATAAGAATCAATTGGATGAGATATTTTAATGTTACCAAACTTCTTGAAGATAGCAATGACAGTATAACTATCATAACCTCTCTCTTTAGCTAGTTGTAATGGTGTCCTTCCCTCATTGTCTTTAGCCAAAGGATCACAATTACCAGTTGATAAAAAGTATTCAACAACTTCAGGTGTACCCAAACTGGCAGCAATATAAAGAGGTGTTCGTCCATCCTTATCAGTGACTGTTATATCACAGTTACACTCCTTAATGAGGTATTTTACAACATCTATGTGTTTAACAGCACGATGAAGAACAGTCTGACCATAATTGTTAGCAACCATTACTTTACAGTGATGAGTATTGATGAGGTACTTCATGACATCAAGTAATCCTATACTAGCTGCATCATGTAGAATAGTATTTCCATATCTATCAGGAGTCATTACATCACAGTTAGACTGGTGAATGAGGTACTTTATAACATCTATGTGTTTAACAGCACTATGGAAAATAGTCCGCCCATTATTATTAGTAACCATTACATTATAGTGATGAGTATTAATGAGGTACTTCATAACATCAAGCGATCCTTTACTAGCTGCATAATGTAGAATAGTATTTCCATATTTATCACAAGTCATTATATTACAGTTACATTCGTTAATAAGGTACTTTACAACATTTGTGTCCAACAGCAAGATGAAAAACAGTCTCACCATTATTATTACAATATTGTTCATCCATTATATGACCACTGATGTTCATGGCCATACACTTTAAGACATCAAGTAATCCTTCACTAGCTACATAATGAAGAACAGGATCACTACCATACTCATTAGTACTCATCATTGGATCACAGCCACACTCTTTAATAAGATATCCAACTATAGCGGCGTGATTACCTTTAGCAGCAGTATAAAGACAGGATTCATCATTGTAATATTCATGTGGATTAAAATGGTAAATAGTCAATAGATCTCTTGTAACATCTAGCCAGCCATTACTTATAGAATAATAAAGCAGGTCAGGCTCATACCATTGAAGTACTTCAGGATCCTGTAAACGTAGCAAACGAACAGCTTGTTCATGATATCTTCTTTTAAAAGTAACCCAACATTTACTGACTCTTAGTCTAGTTGCCATTTTGGAACACCAGCCTTGATTCAACCATAGATACCTATGATTCAACCATAGATACCTATGATTCAACCATTTATGGATTGGAAACAGGGCAAGACCGGATGGTCACATGCTCTTTTCACAGGAAGTGACATCACGAGAATTTTAATTTATACTCCAAAGGTGAAGGAAACCAAGGAGAGGAATATAAAAGAAAGAAAATATTATACCAATAATATTTAAAATTTGATTATTAATAAAACTGATTACATATTATTAATATCACTGAGGTATTGTTGATGACTTTGTAGAATTCTTTGATGACATGCCACAAACAAGTATAGATCCAATTATTAGTGATGATTACAGTCTGCTGATCATGGCTCATGCTCTTGGTTAGTGATGCACCGATACACATTTTTCAAAACCGATATTAACCAACCAATTATTTTGTGCATTAAAATGGCTGATACCGATACTTCAATGAAATATTTTTAAGAATAAAAATAGTCAATTGTTATCCTTATTTACAATCATTGATTAGAGTCATTAATATTTATAGTCAAAAATTGCTAGGTTCTATTTGAAAAACGGGCATCTCTGCTTCTGAGTACTCAAACTGTTTTTCATGTCATTTTGTGGCTGTGATTATTATTTTTATTAAGAATTGTTATACTTATCAACAGCTCTTATATTGGTAACTTATTTTGGTTATACCAATATCAACTGATTTTGATAAAAACGGGCTGATACCAATATTTGTATTGGTATTGGTGCATCACTACTCTTGGTTTTCTCAATATGGTAGACGGTGCAAAACATGTTATTTTGTTCAAACCATTAAACCATATAACAGATGAAATTGATCCTAGTATGACATAAATCAATACAAAATACTTTTTAGTAGATGATCAACTTACTATTGCTAATAGACTTACTTCAATTGGCAGTGAAACACCACCTTCATTAATTTTAACCTCCTACGTGTATCTCCTTCCAATTCGCTAAGTTAAACAAAACTGGCACTTCAGTTTACACTTTCAAAAAGTTGTAAATTTGTCAGCACAACTTAAGTGTAAACAAGACCAACTATATCAATGACAAATGCTAACTTACTATTGCACAATAATAGTATTTTATTTGAAAGTATATATTTGAATCATCAATTTTTCCGCTTTTTGTTGGTATTATGGTATTATGATTAGACCTTAAGCTGGTTTGAAACATGACACATTTGGTCTTATTGTATACTCAATCTTGATCTATATGTAACAGTATAGAAAATTTGTGCATGGATTTTCAGGAGGCAAAGGCTGGGAGTCACATCAATTACTCTAGTTCTATAGTTCCTTTGATTTGACTACAATTGCATTTATTGAACACAACTAAATTACAATAATTATAGTTCTAGCTATACCTAGTCTAATATTTGTTCAAAAAACCATTCAATATTCAGTACATCATCAGAGTTCATAATATGTGCCAGTAGCATCAGGTGATGCATGACATTCATCATACACTGCTTCATTTTCTTCTTTGAGTTTAGTCTTGTGAATTTGATATGGTTCACATACTTGCATTGGCAATATCTTTATCAGCTCGACTATATGTGTGTGCATGCATATTAGTAACTTATGCTATTATACTAACTTTGGATCTTTAATAGTAGCACCTGTAGCAAAACAACCTTTATTTCTAAAAAAATTATCAATTATTTGTATGCATAATATTATTACACGGTGTACCTTATAAAGCAGTAGATATTAAAACTAACACTGACAGTTAGCAGAATCAACAATACACCTACTGACACACCAAGAACAATATTACTATCACTGTGGATTGATGAAACTGATGGAGTAGAAAAAATTGTCACTTCTATTAAAAAGGAATTAATATAAATATTTTAGCTACTTATAAACCAACCACTATATCTTTGCAGTATCAAAAGTGTCATATAATTAATTGAAGGAAGATCTATATATGAGTACACACTGATGGTATAGGTACTCATTGGTGAGAGATCTGTTAGTACAATTTCATCTTCACTGGTAGATACTACATTCCTGGTTACACCTCCAGTAGTATACTCAATCACATATCCATTAGTCTCTGATGAAGTGGTCCAGTTCACTTTGATACTAGTAGCATTTAATATAAACCCTCTCACATTATTTGGAGGACCACTAGGAGCTATAGGACAAAAATTATAACCAGTAAATTATGGTGTGTTATTTGTGTCAAAAATATATTATCCTATTTTAGTCGAGGGGTCCGCAACTCCAAATAATCCCGTACACCCTTGAAAATAATCTATAATAATCTGTTAATCTTTAAAATCTCCAGTAATCTCTGGAAATCCCAAAAAATCCTTGATAATCTTTAAAAATCTCAAAATAATCTCACCATATCTGCTAGTATCCGGAGTTTATTAAAATTAATTAACCTTAATTGATAATTATTAGTAGTTATAATGGTTAACTAACTTTAATTAATAAATATTAAAAGTTATAAAGTAGTTATTAATAAATAATCTCTTTAAAAATCTCTGATAATCCCAAAAAAATTTTGGAAATCTCAAAAAAATCTCTGGTAATCTTCCAAATAATCTCAAATAATCTCTGATAATCTCAAAAATCTGGTTAATCTCTTAATCTCGTACACCTAAAATAGGAGTTGCGGACCCCTCGATTTTAGTAGTATACAGTTTACTTTCCAGCATGCGCCGCAAGGCGCATGCTTCCCACGAATTTAAGTCTCCCTCTGATTCAAATAGACATCTA